CCGGGAACAATAGTCGCTGTCACGGCATCTGCCGCCTATTCTTAAACCGGTGAGAAAAGGCCCCAGCCCTCTTTTCAAGCGAGGGTCGTAAATTTTTCTTCGCGTCATAATAGGAGGCTATAAAATCGAGTTGAAATTTTACCCCAGGCAGGTTTTAACCAACAGATAATGATTTCCGAGTTGATTCTCCCACTGCCCTCCCTCCCCAGCGAGGCTCTGCTGCTTCTGTCATCCCAGCAAGGAGTTTTGCCTTCTTCCCCTTTATTTTTGTATTTATAAGTTTGGGGGAAAGATATAAATGAAAGGCGGGGGGGGGGTCCTTGCCTCAGATGTGGGAGACCCTGGGTGAGTGGAAATCCGGGGAAGGGGTGCGCAGGAGAGGCCAGGGCAGATGCAAAGGCTGCACCTCCTGCTTGCTCTCATTTCAGCCTTTTCCTTCCACACACCAAGGAGGTTCCCAGACCCACTCCGCTCCCATCCCACCCCCAGCTTGCGGGATATTCGGGCTGTGGGCAGCACACTTTTCTCTTCTAGCTCGAAAACCCCCAAATCCTGCCAGGATGCCCGGGAGGACAGCCTCTTTATTTACCTCCTCCCTCTCCGTGGCTTTGAAGGTAATTTCTTTGAGGAGAGGCTGGCTGTGTTTGGTGGTTGTTTGGGGATTGGGTGTGTTTTGATTTCTTTTTTGGTGTATGTATATTTCCCCCATCAGACAGAGACAAAGTTTCCTCCCTTATGAATTATACATTCAAACAATAACACATTAATTCAATTATTCAAAGATGACAAATGTTTATGTGCTTTGCAAGCGACTCCAGTGCAGATTCCGGGTGCTTTCTCTGAGTTGCTCACTTTTTTATCAATGAGAATTGGCTCCCCTCCCACCCCAACCCCACCCACTCTAACCCACCTCCACAACTCCTGGTAGGCCGGGAGAGGAACTCCCCCGGCCCCCCCAACACACACACAAAAAACCTCCCTAGTCCCGCTGGCAGCCTGGCAGCCAACAGCCTCCCAAGGCCCCGGCTTGGCGGGCACCGGCCCGGGCTATTTTATCAGTGTGACAATTGCCCGGGTTGGTGTGATAAATCATCGTAAGTAATTCCTGAAAGGGTGCGAGGCTGTTGGGGGCCGGGCGAGGACTGTAAATCTTTCCGGTTTATTGCTCTATGAACATATGCTCCGATTGAAGAAGGCTTAGATCCTTTCCTGGAGACAAATTCCCCGCAAAGGGGCCCCCTTCTTTGGCTGGAGATTAACACTTGCTTCAGCCGGCTGCGCGCCCCGGTGGAAGGCTAGGGGGCCGGGTCCTCTGGGCGGGGGGGTGGAATGGGGCACCCACGATCTGGCTCCAAAAGGGGTCCGCAGTGGGCCTCCAGCCAGGCCCGGCCAGGTGAACAAAAGGAGGGGCCGGCTGGCGTGCCTGGGGGCTGGAGCCTCGACCTGCCCTGTGGGACTTTCCCAGGCCTCTGGAATGGGGGTGTGGAGGACCTTACCCCCTTTTTTCCCGGCTCTTCGGAGACCTTGCAAACGGCGGCGACGGTGCCCATTGCTGCCGAGAAGCAGAGCTGGCCGGAAAGCGAGACTTCAAGAAATGGCTGGAGACGCCGTATGGGGTGGGATTCCGTGGTGTGGGCCAGGCTGGGGGATGGCGAGGGGGCTCGCGGGGAGGCAGGAGCTAGAAGCCAGCCGCAGGCTCCTGGCCAGCGGGGAGCTTAACTCTTCTGACCACAGGCAGAATTGTTACCATACATTTCACCCGACCACCAGAAGAGCGCCGGGAACCTGTCCTGACTTCATATTCCTAAAACCTAAGTGCCCTCCTCTCCCATCTGGCCCGAGCCTTCTCGGAGGCGCCGCAGGAAGCGGGAAGACACGGCCTGACAGTCGCCATTCCTGCGGAATCCGCTGGCCCTGCCCGGATCCGGAGGCGCACAGGTCACGGTAATCGGCAGCTCGGCGGGCGCCGTGGCCTGCTTTGGCTGCGCAGGACCTGGGTGGAGAGAGCAAGGTGTAAAGGGGAGACTGCGCCGGATCCCGGCCGGCTGAGTACGCGCCTGTTCTGGCTCAGAAGTGGCAGCTCGTCTGCCGCGTCTGCGAGCAGAGCCAAGGCCCCAACCAGTGGTGATCTGGTGGTTGTGGTGAGGTGACGGGCTGGTCTGTGAGCTAGAGGCTCCTACCTTAAGGCCTCACCCTGCGCTGTGCCACCACGTAATCGCCTCGCCCAGGAAAGGGGAGAGCGGTGGGAGCGTGAGAATGCGGGCAACTCGGCGCAGACCATACCCATACGGGGAGCCAAGGGAACCCTGAGCATCTAATGCACCACAGCCGCCCTCCGAGAAGTCTCTGAGACAGGCCTCTAAATGTCCATCCCTTCTTGTGGAAGGCCAGCCCAGGGTCAGAGGTCGTGGGAGGAGAGACTCCCAGTGCCCCCAGTCCACTGTCATCAGCCAAGCTGGGACTCGGTCTCTCCCGAGCAGCGAGATGGGTGGGAGCTTTCCTTCAAACTCTAACCCACCCGTGTCTGCCCCAGGGAAGGGGCCCGGATCCCACGCCTCCTGCCCCTCCTCTCAGACCCCAGGCCTGGCTGCGCTCTGGGGCTGGATGGTGTGAAAGTTTCAGCCTCAATCAGTACAATCTTCTCTCCGGGTCACGTGAACAAATATGCTCGCATTTGAAGGCAGCGTCTGTATTTGTGGACTATGAGGGGGTTTCCGGGGCTCTCTCCAAATACAGAAAGGACCATATTCTGAAAGCAAAACAAACCCCCAGCTCTGGGGGGCCTGGGAGGGCTGGGCAGGAACCCAGGAGTGGGTGGAGGCGCGGGTAGCCGCTGCTCTGGGCCTGGGAGCAGACAAGCTGGCGGGAGGACCGATGGGTGCGCAGTGCAAGCGAAGCCAGCTCGGGGACTAAGAACTCGTTCCTCCTGCGTTTATTGGTAGTTGAACCTCAGCCTGGTTCCGTTCTACCGGGAATTCCGTGTGCCTGGGTATATGGCCGCGTCAGCGAGCACGCAAGACCAGGGTTGGGACAGTGTTGTCTGCAGACAAAGGGGGAAGGCTAGCTCTGCCCCCCACTGGCGCCTGCTCTGAGGCCGAGGACACCGGGTTTATGATAAATTGGGATCCAGGTAAGCAATTGCATGACAAAATGAAAATCTTTGGGCACCGGGCTGCTTGCTGCCCTGAACGGGATACTAAATATGATTTATTTTGTGTAATCTGTGATCTTGATTATTGCCAATTGGTGAGGCAGCCTGCGTAGACCTAGATACACTTCTACATATACATCGAGGATGGGTGATTAATCGTAACAAGGCGCGCTTTGTGGGAATACTCCCCGCCTACCCAAAGGTTAGGAGGACACACTACCTTGACAGACTTGGAGGGTGGCGGTGGTGGCGTGGGGTGGGGGAAAGGAAAATGGCAGTTTGAAGAGAGGGTCAGTGAGGGGGTTGGGGTTGAAGGAAGTATTTTGGGGGTAAAAGTGAAGTTATGAGAATGGGCTGAAAATGAATAAAAAGAAACTTTTTTTACACTGTCACTGCCAAAGTAAGATGGAGCATCATATTAATTCCGTGTCTTGGGCTGCCCGGTTGGGCGCAGGCAGGTTGATTTATATGTATTTAAAATAAACTCCGTGGCCAGCCAGCTCCCTGCATTGTTCTGGGAGCTAGCTCCACATACAGACGCCTTTATCTCTTGCTCTTGGCTTATTATTTTTCTTGGAAGGTGAAAGTGTCACTCAAGATTATCTCCCCAAATTCAAGAGAACCCCCAAACTACCCAGAAGAGTTTGGGAGGCTCCTCCACATTTCCCTCACTAATCTAAGGTTTTGACTGCAAGAGTGGCAAAGAAAAGGTTTAGGGCTTCTGGGTCCTTCTCCCCAAAGAACCAGGAATGAAAGCTAAATTGTATTTTGACTCCAGCATCCCATCCATCCTTTTGTTTACTATGTCCTGTGGCTGCTGGCTGGGGGAGGACAGGACAATCCATCCAGGGTCTTTCCCAGGGGCCAGAGCCTGAGTAAGCAGCGATCTGAGTCCGAGTGAAGGGCTCCATGCTCCTGGGAAGCCACGGGGCCAGGTCCCAGACGGGGCTTCTGTAGAAAGGGACCCAGAAAGCAAGCACTCCCTTCATCCAGGTTGTGACTGGACACCAGCGGGAGGGGGACCAACTTGTAGAGGCATTGCCTTGAGAGGAGAGGAGTAAAGTTGTTTTGTCAATTGCCTGTGGTTGGCTCCATCAGAACTTAAAGTCACTGGACATTTTTCTTCGCTTGCTGCCTTGGAGCTGCGCGCCTGCCAACTTAGTCAGCTGAATCCAATTACGACAAGCAGCATTTCATTTGGCCCCATGGAGCACTCACTTATAACTTCCCGAAAATTTCAATAATCCGCACCCTATTGTAAAGGCTCCCGATCCTAAAGACTTTTCCGTGGTACTGGTGAGGGATGGGGTATAGGGCCGGGCCTGCCTGGGACTAGCTCCTCAATGACAGCTCTCAGATGGAGTTCCCTCCCCCGCTCCCCCAGTTTCTGGCTGTGGAAAGGGTACTTGAGCTGGTGGCCCAGAGCCAGCCGTGTTAAGCCTGCAATTCTGGACAAGCAGGGTCTGAAGTCCGCTGGTGCTGAATGGTGGGTGGTTTGGGGAGGGAGCGCAGGAGAAGGCGGTGGGGGCTCTGGGCTGCCCACCTTTGGCTGCCTTAGGGTCCTCTTTACTTTCCTCAAGCCTCTTGCACCCAGAGAGCAAAGCGCACCCCTGAACGCCCAGGAGCAAACTTACCCTGTTCCTCCGTGGCTGGGAAACAGAATCTAGCTACCTGCATCCGGAGATCTTGACGGGGTGGCCTCCCAATTTAGCCCTCCTACTTTTAAAGAACGTTTTTTAAAAAAAACAATAAAAAACAAAAAACAATCAAGCAGCAAAAGTTGACGTCTGCCCACGTGAATGTATCCTATAAAGCAGCTTTGGGATTCTCTGGTCCAGTCGGGTCGGTGGGCCCGAGTGCATTGCGCCTCCATCGCGTAGCCCTCTGGCCGGCCCAGCGGAGAGGACCCCCTGGATCCCAGCCGGCTGGGAAGCTGAAGTCCAGGCGTGATGTTAGGATCTCTACCGGGCCGGGATTTCTTCGAGGCGCTTCCGTTGGGTGTTCATTAAGGGTGAGTTATTACCGCGTGAGCCAAAGGTCACTTCAAAGGCTTATGGCTTTGCGCTCTGGTCTTTAGAAGGGCCCGGAATGCTTTGTGTGGGGCTTTCCCAGCGCGGTTTAGTGTTTGCAAACTAGTGAGTCGACAAATTGCACAGGGCAGATGCAGAGGGGGGATTGTCTCTACTTTCACCTGACGGGGGCAGGTACTTGCTGAATGCCTGGCAGTGGTGTGCAGCACCGTCTGTTTTGGGGTGAGGGTGGAAGGGGTGTTTGTTTCTTAGTCGGTTTGCAGCCCAGACCAGAAGGGTGGTTGGTACTTACTGGAATAAAATAAACTCGGGGAAAGCATCAACGTATAAACGGAGAAACAGTGTCCAGTACCCTCTTCACTGGAGCTGCTGTGGCAGCTGTTGACTGGGACTCACCCAGGCCCATCTACATATTCACCGTCCTTTTCTGGTGCTGTGTCTGTTGTAGTAGCCTCCCTTCCACTCCAGTTCTGTACAGTCCCCCTCTCTTGCTCTTAGAAGGCGGGCTTGGCTGGGGGGGGATTGGGAAACCTGGAGCATTTGGAGCTTGGTTGGAGCAGGAGGAGAGGGACTGGTTTCCCTGCACCTCTGACCCACTTGGTACACCCCCTGCCCAAGGGTGTGGTCCTTCCCTCAGGCCCAAATCCCCCTTCTTCCATCCAGCCAAAGATTTCCGTGTTAAAGGCTACTCGCTCGCCAGGAGCCAACCGAGTTTCTTTTCTGCCTGATAGAAGGCACCTGGAATGGCTGCAGGCACCTTTTACAATAGTCATATTGATTATGACACCCTTAAGGGGGGTAAAGCCTCTGGACATGTAGGTGTTTGTAAGAACCAACGGCCACTGAGAGTTTTCCATTTTGTTCCAGATCCACCTGAACAGACTATCAAAAGAAACCCGAAGAGCCTACAGAAAGAGTTAGAAACAAAATTTGAGAACACACACACACACACACACACACACTCATATACACAGATGTGGTGAGTGGCATGACTTAAAAAAATAATTTCCACTACATTTCCATCTGTCCGGCAACTCAAATAGCCATCTCAGGATTCATACATCAAGACAAAACAAAAGGGCGGCTTTGAAGTGGATCACCTCAGTGCGAACTGCAGCCCGTTACATGATAACCGATCATCGGCCTTCATATTTATGGCGCTTTAATGGGGTGAGCCCAGTGCCTTAAATGCAGGGTGTATTACATACCAAGTTATCTGGGCTAAATAAGAGTGATTTAGAAGGTCCATCCAGGGCTCTCCATAGCTCGGGCTGAGAGATCAGGAGAACTTGGGCAGAAAGCTTTGTGGTAAATATATCCCCTCCCCAGCAAACCTGAAAAGGAGTAGCTACAAAATCCCGAAGTAGCAAGGCCCACAGGAAGGAAGAATCATCGCTCAGTTCCAGTGAATTACGGGGATACCCAGCAAGAGTCGTGTCTGCCAGAACGAGATCTGTGGGCTCCCGAGGCCCTGGTTTAGGCAAAACAGGGAGAGGAGACGCAACCTAGAAAAAATTGAGACTAACAAAAGCAACCAGCACACCATCACCTCCCCCTTCTCTTTCAACTTCACGGACCCACTCCACCCATCCGTGATTTACGACCACTGAGCGCTAGCCACAGCCCAGAGACGGCCGCCCCCTCCCTTCCCAAGCCCCTCGGCCTTTCCTGGGCTGCCGGGGGC